CCTCAATGCACTGACACAACTTCCTTGTTTTACCGCTCTCACAGAGCCTGTCTTCTGACCCACAACTCAACGTCTGAACAATGTAACATCATCATTGCTTGATGGAAGCAATGCATGATGGGATAATTAGTCTTGAGAAATGGAGATTGCATCACATCAAGCAGCAGGGAAAGAGACTTGGGGGGGGGGGGCATTTTTGGGGGGTAATTTCAGTTTCTCACATTTGATGAGAAACTGGAATTACCCTTTAATTAATGGTCGGAATAACTTGGGTCACAGCAGGGGGATGCCCATTGCCTGAATACTTTGTGCTGGAAGGTGTCCCTCTTTCTCATCTATAATATTTGGGAGGTATGGAATCATGTGCAAGCAAAAATCCTGTTTTTCCTTGCACGTGATCGGGTATTGTTTGTAAGGTGAATTTTCACTAGGTTTCCCCTCATTCAATAAGATACCTGACTTTGGAAGTCAACATGCTCTACTCCTTTAGTAAATCAGGGTCAATCCGCTTCTGACAGCAAATCTTGGTGGGGCTTGCTTTGCATCACTCATTCACTTATTGTATATGTTTATTTATTGTATATGTTGTTTTTTCACTTTGTTACGTTTTTGAAAAAGGAGGATCACCCCTCAAAGATGTTCTTTTGTATTCACTCATAAGAGGATTGCGGAATGCCGGAAGTCCGTCTGTCCTTATATTTTCCATACACTGATCATGCGGTGGGACAAGTTTGATGGATTTTTATAATGACTTTGCAGATGACTGTTTGGGGATCCACCAACAGAACTTTTTTGTATTGAAAGCTGAGGGTACCTTTTTATTTCAGGCCACCAAGGTGTGGTAACATTCCATATCTCAGAGCAGAGAAGAGGTACGTATATTGTTAATAAATATTTTCTAACTTAAAATGTACACAGCCTGTCCAAAAAAAAGTCACACGTTCTAATATTTCGTTGGCTTTGATTACGGCACACATTCGCCGTGGCATCGATAAAAAGCTTATGCAATGTCACAACATTTATTCCCATCCAGAGTTGCATTAACATTTCACCAAGATCTTGTAGTGATGATGGGAGAGTCGGAGCACTGCGTAAAGTCTTCTCCAGCACATCCCAAAGATTCTCAATGGGGTTAAGGTCTGGACTCTGTGTTGGCCAATCCCTGTGTGACAATGATGTCTTATGCTCCCTGAACCACTCTCTCACAATTTTAGCCCGATGAATCCTGGCATTGTCATCCTGGAATATGCCCAATGTGCCATCAGTATGAATGCACCGATACTGTTTTTTCGGTATCGAGTACGACTACCGATATTTATACTTTGTGACGGACTGAACCGTCACTGGTGCTGTTGGAGGAGCCTGGGGGCTAGCCTCCTTCCAACTGACTATGGACCCAGAACTATGGAGACCCCCCTCGGACTTCTTGGGGTTACAATGAACCATTCTACCAGGTTTATGTGTGGGGGGATGTACTGTACATGTTCCCTGGCATTACATTTGGATGGCCCTGTGTGTATTATAGGTACAGGCTGTGACTCCAGGAGCACTGAAGGGGGATAATTCTGGACATTGAACTGTTACAGTTTATTGGTCCTTTTGTTGTATTGTGTTGATGATGGGATTAGATAGCTGATTCTAGGAGTAGCTGACTCCAGGTGTAGATGAGTAAATCACACTATGATACACTCAGGAGATAATCCCATCACATGTGTCTCCTCCCTCCCTATTCATTCATTAAGGCATCGGGGAGGGGGAGTGGATGTTTGCATGCTGTTCATGTTTGATTGCGTTATGTGTTTAGACTTCTTGGACTGTATATATACTGAGCTAGTCTTCAATAAAGCAGATCCCTGTTGGAACTTACATACAGCCTGCCTGGTGTTTGTTCTGAGCTGGATTGGAACGGCACATAGCTGTAGTTCGAATCCCGGATTATCTGACGATCGAAGGATCAGACGTTGCGGTCTGACATCTGATCCATTAGTAGCAGAGGAGTGCCGGGAGAGTGGAACCGAGCGAGCAAGGGGCTCGTTACATACTTATATTTCGGTACTCTGCCGATACAGAGTACCGATACTGTTGCTTTCGATAGCATAGAGCCGGCTTCCCTGCCAATCAGAAAGCTGGGCGGCGAGTCAATACCCGTTGCCCAGCTTTCTGATTGGCAAGGAAGCCAGCTCCATGTTCCCTCACGGCACTGCCGGTCAGAGGAAATCTTCCTCTGACCGGAAGTTTCAGTATTGGGGAAGGTATCAGAGCATTTGGGCGAGTACTCACCCAAATACAGTGGTACCTCGGTTCACGAACGCTTCTGTTCGCGAACAATTCGGTTCACGAACAGGAAGTGCAGTAAAATTTTGCTTCCGTTTGCGAACTCCACATCGGGTGACGAACACAACCGCAGCCATCTTCCCCACCCTGACAATGGTCGTGGTTTCCTCCAGTTGAGATCGCGGCTTGATCACAGTTTGATTCGGTTTCCGACCAATTCGGTTCGCGGCCAGAATCGTGTAACGAATTAAGTTCGTGAATCGAGGTACCACTGTACTTTGTATCGACCCCGATACCGATACTAGTATCTTTATCGGTGCATCCCCAGCCATCAGGGAATAAAAAATCCATTGATGGAAAAACCTGATAATTCAGTATATTCAGGTCGGCATCTGACCTCAATTTTTGGACACATAACATTGCTGAAACTAGACCTGACCAACTGAAGGAACCCCTGATCATAGCACTGCCCGAAATCCAGGTGGTGACTTTGTTTTTGGACAGTCAGAGTATATAAAAATATAACTATCATTCAAAAGTTCTCCAGTATTGGTGTTTCCCATAAAACTGTGTTAAAGTAGAACTGAAGCCAAAACGTTTTTTAGGTTTGGTTAGAGTAAAGGAGATTTATAACCCATAACAGCTTTTTTTTGCCATCTGTGCCCCATTGGGGTGATTTCCTTTTACTTCCGGTCAGATAGCCAAACCATTATGTGAGAGTAAATCCGTTCCTGGTGGTCGGCAGTGTCACCAGAACTAGTGCCCTCATTAGAAGATTTCTCATCTCTTCCCGTTCTGGTAACCACCCAAAATTTGGAATTTACTCTCACTTCCACTTTCTGTGATAACAGTCACCAAAACAACTAGAGAGGATAAATATCCTAACGGGACAATGGCAGCCAACAAAATTAAATGTAAGTCTTTAGTATACAGCGGGCCTTCCTAACCTGCTATAGGCTCTCCAGATTTGCCTAACCATCGAACCCTTGCCGCTCGAAATGTTTCAGCATCCAAACCTCATTCATTCATCTGATCTGGTTGTGCCCCATTGTTAACAAACACCAGGAACACATTCTCAAATGTTATCAAGTGCAGCTCATGCTTCTCATGTGTTTCCTAGGTATAAGTAATACCATACCATTATGACGCCAATGGGCACCTTAGTCCATGAGATATCCAGTGATGGACCCACTGTGCCCCAGTGGACAGGACACATCTATGCTACTGTACAAAAAGCTGGTATATGCACATAGAGGATGTCCAGCCAAGTTCAAGAGATTTTGGGGCACCTGGTTAACAATTGCTATGGGCATGCCCTAAGCCTCGGCTCCTTCTATTTACCCCATCTATTGCCCCCTGTTTTTTTAAGCTAATGTTGCATCTTAATTATTATTATTATATTTATATAGCACCTTACAATATAAGGAAGACATTACAATCACAATACAATTCAAGACAAGATGGTAAGGAGGGCCCTGCCTTGTGAGAGCTTACGCTCTAAAAAGGAGGGGCAAGTGGTACATGAGGAGGTAGCTGTGTGGGGATGAATTGTTGAGATTGTGATAGTTCAGTGGTTAGTTTGAGGCGGATAGGCTTCCCTGAAGAGATGAGTCTTTAGGGATCGTATAAGGCAGTTAGTGTAGGAGATAGACACAAAGGTTGGGAAAAGGAGCTCCAGAGGATGGGAGAGGCTCTAGAGAAGTCCTGGAGGCGAGCATGGGAGGAGTTGACGAGGGAAATGGAAAGCAGGAGGTCTTTGGAAGAGCGGAGAGGACAGTTAGGGTGATACTTTGAGACAAGGTTGAGACAAGGTTGGAGATATAGCCGGGGGCAGAGTTGTGGATGGCTTTGTAAGTGGTTGTTAATATTTAGAATTGTATCCTTTGAGCAATTGTGAGCCAGTGGAGGGATTGACAGAGGGGGTGGGGGATGGAAGCCAGTGGAGGGATTGGCAGAGGGGGGCAGGGGATGGAAGCCAGTGTAGGGATTGGCAGAGGGGGGTTGCAGACACTGAGTGGTTGGTTAGGAGGATGAGTCTAGCAGCAGTATTCATGATAGACTGAAGGGGAGGAGCCTGTGTAGTGGTAGGCCAATGAGGAGGGAGTTGCAATAGTCAAGACGAGAGGAGCATAGTGATGAGGTCATCTCTTGGTCATTCTCTTTTCTTCTTCAATCAGGATGTTCTTTGTCAGCACATAAACTGATTGGCAACTTGTGCTGCTTTTTCCTCTCACACTCGTGCACTGCTGTACAGGGGCTGCAAGAGACTGATATCGGGTCAAATTCAGGTACTAGCATTAGTTACATTAAAAAATATTTATTTTATATCTGCCCAGAGCCCAGCTATAGGCCCAACTTCAAAGTGGCGTCAGGGACCCCACAAGCATATTGCTCTTGTACCAAGGCAAGTAATGCAATTATAAATTGTATATGTATTATGTGTTTGCTTTGCATAGGTTTCAGAGTGCCGTGTACAGACACTAATGTTCCTAGAACAGTTATCTAGAGAGCCATTTAGGCCAAACATAAAAGGTCAGTGGACTTTTTTTATTTGAGGCTTATGCTATATAGCTATATGATATTTTCTACTCTTTGTGTACAGCACAACCTTCATCATTGTGTCATCTATAAATATATTTTAATTTGTGTGATAAATTCTTTGAGATGTATTACACTCTTTTGTGATCTCCGTCATTTCATCACCTTCATAACTAGTTGATATACACATGGAGCCTCCTGGGAATAAGACTCTTGCTGCTTTTGTCCTGTTGGGGTTCTCTGATATGCCTCACCTTCTCCTTCCGATCTCCTCCTTCTTCTTGGGTTCATATGTTCTTTGCATTGCTGGAAACACCTTTCTCTCTTTGTTTATTATGTCACAGCGCCAGCTTCACACCCCAATGTACGTCTTGATGGCAAACCTTGCTTTTGTGGATGTTTGCTTTACCTCCATTATCATCCCCAGGGCTTTGTATGGCCTCCTGTCTGGAGACACCCACATGTCCATCAATAGCTGCTTTGTCCAGTTCTTCATGTTTCTGGCAGTGGCCAACATGGATGGTTTTTTGTTGGCCATCATGGCCTTGGACCGATATTGTGCAATTTGTTTCCCCCTACGTTACCTGATAATTATGAACAGAAGAACTTGCATCTGTATGGTGGCTATCTCGTGGATCACGGCTTGTCTGCGCTCGGCTTTCTACACTGTGCTTATTTCTTCTCAGCTGTTCTGTAGTTGGGTTATCCAACACTTTTTTTGTGATGCTCCAGTAATCATGATGCTATCCTGTACAGACATTTCAGCTTCCCTGCATAATGCTGACTTCATTGAAAGCTCCATCTTCATCTTTGGCCCAGTGCTCTTTATCCTTGGGACCTACATACTCATTATCAGAGCAGTGGTGGCTTTACAGTCATCCCAAGGAAGTTGGAAGACCTTCTCTACTTGCTCATCTCACCTGACCATGGTCACCCTCCTCTACAGCGCAGTCATATTTATGTATTTTCGACCAAGCTCCATCTATTCACCAGCCTATGATCGTGCCATCAGTGTGGCCTACAGCATTATTATCCCAACACTCAACCCATTCATTTACAGCCTGAGAAACAAGGAGGTCAAAAATGCTGTAAGAAAAATTCTAAAGTAAACTTAACAAACATTGTTTAAGACTACACTACTCATTTATCTAGGAAATGTAAGGATATTAGACACGCCAGATAATATTAAAGCTAGCATTTTTTTCCTGTCTTCACGCATTTGAAGATTTACATGCATTTTAAGGTGTCCATGGGGCCCATAAACAAATGTAGTAGTGTGGACGGTTATCTACTGGCCATCAAGGTCTGGGATCTGTATGTTGTCATGTAACTTCTCTTGCTATACTCAACCATCATGACCAAGAGGACATGCGTTGGTGTGGGGACTTCTTCATGGACTATTGCTACTCTTGACACTCATGACAATGACATACTGTAAACGCTTCCATGTTGCAGTTGGGTTATTTATCACTACTTCTGTTATGTGTGGGGTGTGCTGTTTATGTCTTGCACTCCAAGCAAATGAGTGGTGTGCTATAACGTGTGTGGGATGAACAGAGGGGTAACCGTTTTGTTTAAACTTGCATCTTGCTAGCTCATTGGGTACTATCAGCTTCACCCAAGTGTGTAATGCCAGAGACGGGTGTATTTCTCTTCCGATCAGCAGTGCTGAGGTAGAATGGTAAGCATTTGAATTCCATTAAGTCTTCTCAGCATGTACACTATTCAACTAACAGGTGAATGGGACAAGCAGAATGCGAGTAAGGGGGAGAAAGTTTTCTCATTGAATGCTGGGAGCACAGGATAGTACTACCTATGTACTCGTTCCTCCAGAGGAACCTGGGTTGTCACCCTCCTGCCTGACTTCCCTCGATCTGAAAATCTAAGGAGCCAGGCAGAAAATTGTCAGCCACCAGTGACTGCAGCCAACCACAAAATAGCTTAACGCTTATCATCAGTAGCTTCTCACCACGTGGTTACATCCCACAATACACATGAAGTGATAGCTGGCCTTTGGGTTATGGGATTCTAATATATGGAGGTGTGATATTTTCATGTGATAATTATTGTTTTGATGATAAGAAATCTTATTAAGTTTTTTAATTATTAGTGTAAAATAAAAATATTTTAAACAGTCTTTGTCAAAGAGTGCTATCATAAAAGTCTGGCCTACTTTCCTTTTGGTGATTCTTACTTTTTATTAAAGAAGACCATGAATGACAAATAATTAAAAGTTTCTTATTATCAGACTTGAAGTTATGCCAAATGAAGGTGGTTCAGCCAGGAGCGGTATTCTCCAAGATGAAGCCAACATGCTTTTCGGTAATCTGCTGTTTACAGAGATCAATAGCTCAAGCTTAAATGTACAAACACATCTGAATGCATCAAAGCAGTGACCCCCTCTCCTCCTATCCCCCACTGCCACTGTTGAAAGTTGCAGTCATTCAAAGCAATTTATCTCAGCACAGAGCTGCTTTTGCTCAGCAGAGCAGATAGCATGGCTTGTAAAATGTTAAAAGGTACCTAGAGCTCCACTTGATGGCTGTAAATGTTAATATAAAACATTCATATGCAATACTTTCTACAATATATATATATACAATATATATATTGTAACATGGTGCCAGTAAAACCTGCCAGGTTGGCAGGAAAAGTGATAGATGGTAGATACATTTCTCCACGGATCCTTAATTCTGTTGAAGAACAGTAGGACACATGACTGCTCTTCTCCAATCACAGAGCTCTCTCTGCTTTATTAGGCATAGAGAACTATGTGTGGCTCCACCGACTGCACAATGATTTAGAATAGGATGGGCCCCGATGTAGATAGTGAAAAGCAATATCTGCTCTATGTTATTAATGAGCCCCTAAGTGTTTTCAAAAGCTTGCTACATTTTACTTTCCTACTACTATCTATGGCTAACATAGTACATCACTTGACTAGGGTACCTCAGAGGGAGCCTGCCCCTACTACCACTAGGCTTGTCCCCCACCACTACAAAGTTAGACGACACAATAATGGAATTTAATGGCCATACTGGCCCTTTGTTACATAAAAATTCATTCAAATAACTACAATTAACATGAATAACAAAAGGTTGGGTTGGTGGTCCTTCAAGACACCAGAAAGAAAGGTCATGGCAACATTCCAGCCAGAGCATTGCAATCAGCCATAGCCTAAAAAGCTACATACTGGCACGCATGCATGCATGCGGCATGCAGCAGATGGACATGATGGGCCATGCTGGTGGCTCTACAGACAGATCCTAGAGGTACTGTAAAAAATGGGATTGCATAGCGCATGCATGTGCCGAAAGGATTTTTGACAAATCAACCAAGTCAGCAATATTTCCATGTATCAGGAACAGGGGAGAATAAACTTGTGATGGGCCCTGGAGGGCTCCAATATAAGTGTATCTACACCAAAGGAAAGGAAATGGACAGGATGGGCCATGCCTGTGACTGTTCAGAGAAATCCTAAAGGTACTGTAACAATGGGATTGCATAGCGCATGCGTGGACTGAAAGGATTTTCGACAAGCTAATCAAGTCAGTGATATTTGCCTGGATCAGGTACCTGAGACTATACACATGCGGTTTGGGCTGTAGGGCTCCAATATACGTGTATCTATACCATAGGAAAGTATACGCCTGGGAGGGGACTATGGTGGCTTCCTATATGTCCCTTTTACTTTAACTTTACCGTTCCTCAGAAGTGACTGTCGCCATTAATTTCTGCACCACATGGGTGTAGGGCTCACACAGAACTGGTAGCCATGGGGCCACAGCTACAAGGCCCTAGGCCACCCATTGTAATGACCTCAGAGATAGAGTGGTGCACTAATGAATATCAGGTGTGTTTTATTGGTTGTATGAATGTTTAAAATAGAACGCACATCACTCGCATTCACTCATCAAAGTCAGATTTAATTTCCCTGTATACCTGACGGGGAACTTGTCTAACTGTGCCGCGTGGGAGATGTTTGGACTCCCTAGGGTTCTGCACCATCTATAAATTCCTCCCTTGGTTCAGACATGACCAAAGCCAGTCCCAGAGTACTTTATCTGCTCTACAATACCAGCTGGAGGTCAGAGAGTGCTGTGAGAGGATACTGCCGGTCCTTTCACACTATAAATAAGTCTACTCTATAGACCTGAATTGTAACATCTTAGATACGCCCTGCATTCAGGCCTAAGACAGGTGAGTGGATGTAGTCTTAAAACCTTTTTTCCTCTGGTAATCACATTAAATCACCATTTTATTATGTTTGTTACTTTGTTCATGAGTAGATTTGCAAGAAGGCGACAGTCAAACCATTTCAGATGCATAATACATCAAACATTTATTTTCGACTCCCCCCTCTTATGTGTCAAATGTGAAGAAAGGTCACAATGTTGCAGAACAGACTGAAGCAATGTAGAAATAATAAATTCAAGCTGCCGTTTGATCATCCAATTTTGGTGCACAGTTTTTTAGCTGTAAAATTTAGGTGCATTGCAGACAGGCATCAAAGCTTTCATCAGATGACATTTGTAGGGTGATACAATTATCACCACTGGGATTGATGTGATAACAAGGTATTTATTACCATTACAATGGGATGAGCTCAGGTACGGACTGAACCTGGTCTAAACCTGAGCTCCTCTAAACACTAAAGCTCTCACCAAGGCCTCTCACCCGATCAGTTGCGGGTCTAGGAGTTCCCTGTCCCACAGCTGACCATAAATAAAGGGGTGGAATGCTTGTGCTAACATAATTTTCTTTATATGGCCATGTATTGCATCCAGGAATTCCCCATCAGCAGCTGATAGGGTGGAGTTTCCTTCCATGTTTGGAGGAGCTCGGGTTTGGACGGGATTTGGTTGCCCTTGTCTGCCTGACATCTTGTGTCCAGGTTTCTGCTGCCATGAAACCCGGACACAGCATTCAAAACCCGAACTGTCCGGGTGAATCCTGGACAGGTGGCAACCCTACATGTACTGCAGACATCTACGGAATATGTTTTTTTACCCTGACCTAAGTTTCAATGGACACCTCCTGTTCTTTGCAAAAAGCAGGACAAACTCTACCTGAGAGTTTTACAATATGTTATGTTACAATATGTTATCCCCTCAGAATATTAGATAAACTTGCCAATTAAAAGAAATGTTGACAAAACAATCCACGTCTGTCCTAATTACACTGATTTGATTCCCCTGTACACCTGGCGGGATTATAATTGTGCCACGCGGGAGTTGCTGGCAATCTCTAGAGCTCTATAAATTGACATGAGCAGTGACAGCCCGGGAGTGACAGTGTGTCGGGGCTGAATTGTGAATCCAAGGTATGTGTCAATCTAGGGTATAGAACTGGAGGAAATGACATTAGAGGCCGTGACATCTAAAATGGACTTCATGATCACATTAATGATGGGTAAGTGGATATGTCCTGATGCCAACAAGTGAAAAAACATTTTTTTTCTGCATATAATTTATACAGCTGTTGGAAGTGAAAGGATTGATTTGCTCCGGGGTAAGCTCTAATAAGACAACATTTGTCCCTTGAAATAAGATCACAGCATTGAATTATTTTACTTTTTACATTTGTGTTGTTGTTGCTAGCAAAGGAATATTATGCCTTTTTAACAGGTCCGGATTTACTCTCCCTGCTGCCCCAAGGCCAGGTTCCGCAATGCACCCCCCCCAGATCAATTTTTTTCCACTTAACTTTATTGCTATTACACAGGAGCTAACAATCCCCTGTGTGATAGCATTTGGAGGTGTAAAATAACAACAAAAAAAATAATATTTTTAGTTTACAATAAATAAAACTTGAGCTCGGTGTTTATTAAAACAGAATACGAAATAAAAGCCTTAAATATTCTTCAAAAAACAATGTGATTTTTTTTTTTTTAGCTAATTTAAACATTGGGTTAACAGATGAATAGTGACACTACTAAGTCTGGTTTGGTCATGAAATAGGGAAAGGAAGTCTGTACCCAGAGAAATACATGGGCTGCCATCACCATTGACCTCTTTCTAAAGCTAGGTTCTTTGTTGTCATGCTGATCCATCACCATTGACCTCTTTCTAAAGCTAGGTTCTTTGTTGTCATGCTGATCCAACACCATTGACCTCCTAAAGGTAGGTTCTTTGCTGTCATTGTGATCCATCAACATTGACCTCCTTCTAAAGGTAGGTTCTTTGTTGTCATGCTGATCCATCACTATTGACCTCCTTCTAAAGCTAGGTTCTTTTCTGTCATTGTGATCCATCACCATTGACCTCCTAAAGCTAGGTTCGTTGCTGTCATTGTGATCCATCACCATTGACCACCTTCCAAAGCTAGGTTCTTCAATGCCATTGTGATCCATCACCATTGACCGCCTTCCAAAGCTAGGTTCTTTGCTGTCATTGTGATCCATCACCATTGACCTCCTTCTAAAGGTAGGTTCTTTGCTGTCATTGTGATCCATCACCATTGACCGCCTTCCAAAGCTAGGTTCTTTGCTGTCATTGTGATCCATCACCATTGACCTCCTTGTAAAGCTAGGTTATTTGCTGTCATGCGGATCCATCACCATTGACCTCCTTGTAAAGCTAGGTTCTTTACTATCATGCTGTTCCATCACGATTGGCCGCCTTCCAAAGCTAGGTTCTTCGCTGTTGTGCTGATCCATCACCGTTGACCTCCTTATAAAGCTAGCTTCTTTACTGTCATGCTGAACTAGTGGCTTCAACACTTTGGATCCCTGCCCTGGAACCAATGGAGAGAGCGGTAGTTCTGAATTTATAGACTGCACCCTCCCTTGCTTTTGAAAATTCCAGTTGGCTAGCTGATACCCTGCTAGCATTGTTATCTGAATAACTAAAAAGCAGCACACACTGTATGTAGCAAGTGAGGACATCTTGATCTGCATACTTGCCCCAGATCAGCAACTCATGCTGGCCAGAAGATAAGCATGGCAGCCAGGCAACTAGAATTTTCAGAAGGAAGGCAGCAATGTTAGCCTGTGTATTTTTCTCATTACAGGTGTCCTTTAAACTCAATGGGTCTCAGGTATGACATGTCTCACTGTAGGATTTCCTTCCTACCAACCAATCAGCTTCTCCCTGCTAGGGCAGGGTAGGATGTGTAACAATGATAGTAACTGGCTGCTTAAAGTGGACCACAAGCTGTAGACACTTCATGCTTGAGGCCTATGATCACTTGCACCAAAACACTTCTATTTTTATTCTTTTTTACCAATAAAAAAATCTTCTCTTTCATTTGTTCTTTTTTGTAAAACAAAACTCAAGCTCGGTTGGGATTATGTTTACAGAAAAGATTGATGAACAGCAGACTATGATCCTTTTGTGAGAGATGGGACAATGGACTCCCTATAGTGTGTTACGGAATAGTGATTATCAGCTGCACTATATAGAAGAGATGCTCAGTTGTTGTGGTCTCACAGTACCATGTTGCTTGCACCATAAAGAACCAGCTGTTCTATTACACAACTGATTGATCTTCGAACCTCTGGAATTAATTACAGGTGATCTTGTTAGGAAAACTGACCAACTAGAAATGTAGCTCAGAGTGGCCTGAGATCAGGGAGCTAGGCCTCAGTTGTAAACATCCCTTGAGGCAAGAAGGTCATTGCTGTTCTAGTAGGAAATAACAAGCTTATCTCATTCATGTTGATGCCCAGTGGCGGAACTACCAGGGTCGCAGAGGTCGCAGCTGTGACCGGGCCCTGGAGTCCTGCCACTTAGAGGGGGCCCAGGACAGGACGACGGGGCCCCTAGTAACCTCTGATTACCAGGATATTTAATAACCTGGTAACCGCTAATATCAGTACCGGGGTCTCTTCCTCCTGTTCTGGGCCCTGCATGCTTCAAGCTGCTCCCCTCACCTTGTTCCGGCCGGGCACAGCGTGAAGTATGATCGAGCCGGCGCGCAGCCAATGAGCGGAAAGCGGGGCTATTCCTGCCCCCTCATCACACAGAATGGCTGCCGACCATAGAGCTGCCTGTGTGCTATCAAAAGCTCCAACTACCTGGGTATGAGAAGCCAGCTGCGGACATGAAGGAGGAGATATAGAGAGCTGAGAATATGAAGGGGACATGTGAGAGGAGAGTGTGGGGTCAGGGAGCTGAAAGCTAGGGACGTGAAGGGGGAGATGGGGTGAAGCTGTGGACATGGGAGAGGAGAGTGTGAGGTCGGAGAGGAGTGCTGGGGTAATGAAGGAGGAGGTAATGGGGACATGAAGGGGGAGATAATGGGGAGCTGGAGACATGAAGAGGGAGAGTGTTTTTTTTTTTTTTTGTCTAAACATTTTTTTAAAACAATGTATCTAATTTTTTCCTCCTGGGGGGGGCCTTCATGGATTCTTGCACCGGGGCCCTGAGGTTTACAAGTTACGCCTCTGGTGATGCCCATGATCACACAAGGAAATTGCCCAGCTTCCAACCAGGAATGGGGTTTGTAGTAAAATGGTGTTAAATACTTTTGTCATACAAGATATATATAATATTTCCTCATTGTCCAAGGTTTTGTAGAGCTAATTAAAAGACAGAAAAATCTATTCCTGGTAACCAGAGGCACGTAAGAGGCAATGTAGAAGTCACAACAAGCATCCAGCCCAGAGAGAACAAAATGTTTGTACCACAACGCCCCATTACATCACTCCTACAACTTTAAGGTGAACTTTTTCATTCCCAGTCAAACAAACGTAGAGGGAAAGCTTCCTAATCTGCTCCACCAATTGGTTCAAATGAACATATTTATAATAAGGTTGAACAGAGCTGTTACTCGAATGCAAATGATCATTTTTTTCTGGAGGGTCAACAGGTAAGTCCTTATCTCCATCTCTCACCTATCCACCTAGTACTGACCTATGAGTCTAGCTGACTGTCGAAGAAAGGGCAAAGGGGTCTTTCACATATAATAGGTGACTGACAGCCTAACTTTTTTTTCTCCTTGCCTTGCTAGTGACACGATGGGAGAAAAACTGGTTAAATGATGGCAACATTTATTGTTTATGGATAACACACTAGTAAGTTTATGATCTAAATAGCCTAAATTTGACAGCAGTACACATAGGTAAAGGTAAGGGTTGCTATAAAGTGAACTCAGGATTTAAATCTTAAAAATACATTCAAGTACCATAACTATTAACAAAATGTATCACTCTGCTGTAGATCCTCCAATCATCTCTGAATTGGTGCTGACACTGTCCTTCCTTCTGGAGGGGGGCTACTTTTGTTCCCCATGGTCTCTGTGTGTGTTGTAAAGTAGCCACCGCTCCAAGCTTGCTCCCGGGATGGACTACAATCTCAATACAAATAAGTAAACTAAGAAACTGAGATTGTACGGTAGCAAGCTTGAAGCGGTGGCTACTTTACAACACACACAGGGACCATGGGAAACAAAAGGGTGGCAACGCTACAGCCGAATTGAGTAGCCACTGCCACCCCAGTAAAGGAAATGTCAGTGGATACAAATTGTTGGTGTAATTTAACTAAAGTCAGGTCACATACAAATAAAAATCACCCTTCATTACCAGAGCATGTGCAACAGCATATTTGGTTTAAGTGTTTGGATTTGGGTGATCTTTAATGACTTCTTCTGCTCTTTCTGTACAGTGGCAGCCCCTATCAAATGGGTAACTTGATAAATATGTGATTTGTCCTTCAGATCTATTGGCCTTGTACTGCATAGTCGTGTTACTCTGTAAAAAATACATGATGTTCCATTGCTTTTTTTTTTTAACAGGATACTTATTCTTTCAGATGTTTTGAACCATGATGTAATCTCAGTCTTAGCTTCATATTCATAACTGGTCCATATACCCATGGAGCCTCCTGAGAATAAGACTATTGCTGGCTTTATCCTGCTGGGATTTTCTGATACACCTCACCTTCTCCATCCTCTGTTCTCCTTCTTCTTGGTTTCATATGTCCTCTGCATTGCAGGAAACACATTCATCTTCATGCTTATTGTTTCACAGCTACAACTTCACACCCCGATGTATATCCTGATGGGAAACCTTGCCTTTGTGGATGTATGCTTTACATCTATTATAGTCCCCAGGACATTGTATGGCCTCCTGTCTGGAGACATCCATATCTCAATCCACGGTTGTTTCGTCCAGCTCTTCCTGTTTCTTGCAGTGGCCAACATGGATAGTTATTTGTTGGCCATCATGGCCTTCGATCGATACTGTGCAGTTTGCTTCCCTCTACGTTACCTCATAATTATGAACAGTAGGACTTGTAACTCTCTGGTGGCTTTCTGTTGGACCACCGTGTGCCTCCACTCTGCTTTCTGCATCGTGCTGACTACTTATCGGCCATTCTGCAGATGGGTTATTCCCCACTACTTTTGTGATCTTCCCATAATAATGCAGCTTTCCTGTTCAGGTGGTTCAGAAGCCCTTAACCAGGCTGGTTTCATTGAGGCTTCCATTGTGGTCTTTAGCCCAATGCTTTTTATCCTTATTACCTACATACTAATTATAAGAGCAGTGTTGGCTCTAAAGTCATCTCAAGCAAAGAGGAAGACCTTCTCCACTTGCTCATCTCACCTCACCATGGTCATTCTCCTCTACAGCACAATTATATTTATGTACTTTCGGCCAAGCACCATGTACTCGCCGACCTACGATCGGGATATAAGTGTGGTGTACAGCGTCATCATCCCAATGCTCAACCCCTTTATTTACAGCCTGAGAAACAAGGATGTAAAAAATTCTATAAGAAAGCTTTTGAAACAGGCATGAAAAATAATTTTACCATTTAAAACTAATTGACACCTTTATAGCCAATATAATAATGTAAGGCAGGCCAGATAATCAATTTTATGATTAGCATGTATTATCAGTCTTGATTCATTATACCTGTATGGGCTATTGCACCAAGTGAGAAGATAGATCCTAATTCCTGTCCTAAACTGTGCCTTAAAACAGATTTTCTTGATACACATACAGTATATTGCCATACATGTCCAAGCCAACAGCATCACAATGATCTTTTCTGTGGCCAGTTCCTACTAAGTAAGTAAAATGCCAAATACTTTCATGTACATATTGTCTACAAATTGACAGATACTGCCAATATGGGGGGTTATCTGGCACAGTTGAAGCATGCAGCCCTTAAAGAACCACAGGTCTCATATAAACGCTTTAAACTGCAGCTCCGACACTTCTTACATCCATCCATCATTGAGCAGCCCCTACCAGACCCACCACTGCATTTGAAAATCTCTGCTCGGTTATTATTCCAGCGGACACTCAGATTTATGAAATACTGTGTACCCCAGTGTATAACTCTTCCCCTTTCTACATCAGGAAACGTGAGACTGAACAAAATATGCTTTTCTCCCCTGTTCATATAGATACCATTCTATACCTGGCACATAACCACATAACTCCTACGTAGCAAGCAAATACCAAGAATCAGGATTCAAAATCCTCTCCCATATAAGGTTCTCACAGTACAGAATAAAATATACCCCCCAAGCCTCACTGCTTTGTTAGGCCCCATTCACACTGAGCGACATGAAAATCGTGCGATTTTGAGCGATATTGCGCGACGAGCGATATTGAGCGACTTATCGCGCGACTTTTTCCTATTGGGCTGTATGCAATCAGGAGCAATATCGCTCGAAATCGCTTGAAAAAAGGGTCATGTAGGAGCGACAAGCTACCAGCGACGAGCTACAAGCGATATTGAGAGATATTGAGCGACGAGATGTGAACAGCTCCATTGAAATGGATTGGAGAAGCTACATAGAGCGATATCGCGTGGAAATATAAGCGATATCGCTGCAAAAATCACGCGATAAAGCCGCTCAGTGTGAATGGGGCCTTAGTGTTCTAACTCTGAAACTGGCATACATACCCACATATTGCAGTCCTGCCCTCAGGGCCGGGCTTTGGGGTGTTCGAGCTGTGCGGCCGCACAGGTCGCTGCAGCAACAAGGGCGCCAGGCGGCCGACACAGCTCGTCCTCGGGGCAACTACAGCCTGCGGTTTCTCTCCTCCTCACCGCTCGGCCATCCGACATGAGATCGCTTCCTCCTCCGCACCCCCCCTACGCTCATGTCAGATGGCCGGTCAATGAGGAGGAGAGAAGCCGCATCTTTCAGGACGGCCGAGCGGTGACAAAAGAGGGGCCGCTGTCACCCTGTTTGTTTCAGGATGACAGCGGCTCTGTGTGTGGCTAGCGGAGGATCAGTAAATATCATTGATATTTACCGATCTTTTGTGTGTGAAGGACAAACACTGGACTGATCGTCTGATCACTCCATTGTTTGTAAATAACTGGGGACACATAGTAATATGTGTCCCCAGTTATGAATGAACAGGATGTGATTTACATCACTTCCTGTTCATTCATGAATTTCTGAATGGGGAGTAGCACTCACTATAAAGAGGCTCCTCCCCATTCAGAACCTGGTGATAGTAAAATATTATACTATCAGTTTCTGATTTCTGTCCTCAATTTCTTTTTATATCTTAAAAGAGAAATGTCAGGGGTCTGTTTAGACCCCTAATATTTCCCCAAAGCCCCCCCCCCCCCAACAGTAAAAAATATTGATAATAAAAATAAATTAAAAAAATTAAAAAATGTAAACAATTATTCTTAAAAAATGCATGGCGTCATGTGATGTCATGCTCCCTGCCTCCAAGATGGTGGTACGCATTCGCAGAACACGCCGGTGGCCAACATGGCCGCCGCACATTCTCAAACTAATTATTATGCGCCTGAATACATTTTTCGTATATTCGGGCAAATAGCAATTAATAAATTTTACACGTAGTTTAGGTTTTGTGTTCTGTTTTTTATTTTTACTTTTCTAGATGCATTTACTTGAACAAAGGGATCGGCAAACACTGGACTGATCGTCTGATCACTCCATTGTTTGTAAATAACTGGGGACACATATGCCTAAAGGCCTAAGGCTGGCCCTGCCTGCCCTAATCAGTGCCTGCAGTTGGAATGTCACTGGGACTGTACTAGACCATCAGCCAGTTACCTACTTCTTACACCTTAATTCTTTCTAGACAAGTGCACCAGCAAAAAAATTGTTTCGTTTAGTTTCGTTTTGATTCGGATTTTGCTTTATTTTGTTTTTCGGAATTTGGGTTCGACAGTCAATTCGTTTCGGAATTCGGTTTCGGACAAAATTCGTTAGGGGAAATCTGTACGAAATTTCTTTTCTAATTCGTTTCGTTTTCGTTTCTTTCTTTCGTTCGTTGCAGCAAAGTGACATTTAAGTTTTTTTGTTCTCAAATGTCACTTTGCTGCAACGAAATTTCGTCCAAAAAACGAAAGTTCGTCCAAAAAAAAACGAATCGGAAATTCGGATTCGTTTGCATTTGTTATACCTGTAATTCGGAATTCGGATACATCCGAATCTCCGAATTTCCTAAATTTCGTCCGAATTCGGAACGAAACGAATCGCACATGTCTAATTCTTTCTCTAGATTAAGATGTAAAGTTTCTCTTACTATACACCAAGTAAACATTCCCAGGACTTACATTCCAGCACTGTGGAAATGTAGTACACCTCCTCCTACTTCCCTTTAGATATCCAAAGTCATAGACATCATGTTCACGAAGGACCTCACAGCCACCATTCACACCACTACAATGGGAAATGAAGGGACAACTGGGTACACTGGATTGCCTTTATGGCCTCTGCTCAGGGCAAAGATGTGTTGACACCATGACCAAATTGAACACTTAGATCCGTTCCCCTCCCCAATATGAGAGGACTCATAAGTATAATAGTTGCTACCTGATCCCCCGTGCCTGATCAAGGTCATGGCCAATCCTTCCTTTCCCCCTCTTTTTTTTCCTTTCCCCCTCTTTTTTTTCCTTTCCCCCTCTTTTTTTAGACTCATCGCACTATACCAGTGGTTCTCAACCTCTGTATCCTTAGGACCCACAATTGTCTTTGGCCATTAAGTCATGACCCAAGTTGCAATGCAATGGAATGCACGGCATTGCGGTACCGTGCATTCCGATGTGGGCGATAGAACTGTGGGTGGGAGATGCGTTTGGGGTGTCATTTAAATGAATGGCAATTCACTGCACCTCCCACACCAGAACGTGCGATTGCGTGATACAGTGCATTAATCACATGGGACTGTGCGATCAACGCACTGTACTAGTGTGAACGGGCCCTCAAAATCACTGACAGACACACACAACCACAGACACAATGTCACACACTCACAGGCATTCTCACACACTCCCAAATTTTTTTTACATTTTTTTTAAAATCCACTCAGTCTCCCTACCTAACAAGAACTGGAGTGGATCCTCAGCCTGGGTTATGACAGAGCTCCATTCATATGTGCATCCACTTGTACAGCTCCCTTGCCCACACTGTAGAGGTGACGGGGGCCAGAATGTGGCATCACTGCGGCCCAGGCACTTCCACAGGACACGAAAGGGAGCAGTAAGCAATCCACATATGCATGGAGCTCCCTTGCGGCCATAGCCCTAGCACACCCCACCTCAAGCTGACACGCAGCATCGGGCAGCATATTTTGAATGGCTGCTCGGCGCTAGAACGGACAGTGCTGCACTAGGAGGAGGCTGAGGAGCCTCTCGCCTAGAACAGTGGAAGGTGACCTAATGAACACAGGGGTCCGTGACCCACTTTTGGGTCACAACCCACCAGTTGAGAACCAAGGCACTATACCTTTACCTCCCCACCCTTCCCTGCAACCATCTCCCCCTATACCCCCCTCCCTTTCCCATTCTCTTTAGTCATTTCAACATTTTAAACACACACACATTAATGCTTCATACAAAACACACTTGGGGTTATATCACAGTTACAGAGTTCATCAATTTTGCCTGAACATAAACCAGCAATATTCTACGTAGCAGACTAGGGGACTGGCTGATGCACATCATTGTCTTTTTATAGCGTCACCTTTAAGAATATACTGGAGTAATCCTTGAAAATATCTTTACATTCGTGTTTTATAGTGTTTGAGTAAATGTATTCATGCACTCTCGTTATACTTTAATAAACAATAAAAAACACAATTTTGGTAACCGACCGGCACTATATAAGAAAACAGAGGAAGAATATCCCGTGCTAAAGTCTGATATATGTGTATGTGTGTGTTGGGACACATGGTCATATACATATACATTGAAAACAGACCCTCCCCACTTGTTCCTCTCACTTGACTATGGTCTTCTTTTTGGATAGCTCAGCTACATTGCTGTACTGTAACTGTGTGGGGTCATCATGCCAATGGTAATCCCATTTACATATAGTCCAAGAAACAAGATCACAGGGACAGTAAAAAGGAGCATACAATACTTTTGGAAAGTGTGTCAAATACAGACCCACAAAAGACAAATCAAAGACTAAATTGATACCTTTGGAAATGTTAAACACTAAACACAAATTTTGGGATCATACTTGATTTGAAAGAAAAGTGCCGAAGAGATGACGCCACAAGATGCCCGCTGATATCTTTATTACCTAGTGAAGCTTCTTCTGTGCTCCTCTCTGCTTCAATTTGACTTCATGGCTGAGACCAACCAACTGCCTTACTTTATAACGTGAGAATGGCACAGACCACCCAGTCAGCCTCGCTGGACATTGGAGTGGCAGCTGGTGGATGTTTGTTAGAAGTTTGGGAACATCAAGCCCCCGGAACAAAGTAAAACTAAATCAGGGCCGTGTGTGGTCAATGATCATAGAGGAAAAGCCATCTCCCTGCCTCTGATGCCAAGCTTACTATGCCTAATGAGAAATCTGACTCTGGGTCACATCTTGCAGACATGTGGGTATTTATCCATACAAAATTCTGACTGATGCTTGTAGCTCTTTAATATAATGTTGTAGGTTATGGTGCTTATTATCATTATTAAAGTGGGCCTTTCATTAACGTACAAGTCTGTATGAATAAATTCCTGACGGGGCAATATGTTGCAACAGTATTATCTTTCAAAAAACCTCCGCCTCATAGCATTAAAAGCCGCCCTTGAGCTCCACTCCAGTAACTTTGCCTACGCTGAGGTGATGTCATCAATCTGCTACACGTATGGAGGAAGCATTTCCAAAGTCTCCCCTCCCCCAAGGATTAGAGTACAACATTGTAATTTTATAGCAAGTCACAAGCTGGGAGGCTTCAACAGGTACGTGTGTACTGACAATATTTGTCAGGTATCTGTGAACAGCCAAGAACTGCAAAGGCACCAGGATTCAGATGACTGTGACATCTCTGAGTTGGCATCTCAGTCCAGGAAGTAGATGGTGATGCCCGAACAAATTTAATGTCCTCCTTCTGGAGAGAAAAGCAGCTAAAGGCATTGTCATCTCTGTGGGAAGTAATAAAGACCTGGAAGTGTTACACTTACACATTACATACATGTATGTAATAGCAGGAAAATTAAATCTGTTGCTAGGCCCATGTTAATGTCTTCTATGGTGCTTATATTGCAAAACACTGTATGGGACTTTTTAAAGGAGAACTATGGGGTTAGGGCTTTTCCCCATAGTTCTCCTTAGGGTAACGGGAGGACACAAACTAGCGTATACCGCGAGCTGCCCCAGCTGAAGCGGATCCCGACAATTGTGCAGGGGATCCGCCCAGCTGCGTGACTGACAGCTGGCTCTGCCTATCTAGAGGCAGAGCCAGCTGTCCCTGCCCCCTCCCCCATCCGTTCTGCTAGTCAGCGCTGGCGGATCGGAGCGGGGAATCCAGCCCCTCCCCTGTCACGGCAGAGAGCCGTGACAGGATCGAGAGGTGAGCGAACGCCGGTATGTGTTCGCTCACCTCTCGATCTACTGAGCCGACCTGTGACAGTCTCATTGTCACAGGTCGGCTAGAACTTTGAGGTGAGTGAAAAGCACTCGCCTCATAGTTCTCCTTTAAGGCATACACAATGGCCATAGAATTTTCAAATGGTTAAAATTTCATTTTATTCAAAGTGTTTAAGAAATACATAAGCTAATGAGATTCATTATAGATAGAGTCTCTTATGCAACCTTTTTTTGGACATTTTTGTTCAAGATTTTCAACTGGTTGAACATAGTAAAGGTCAGGCCAGTAACCACATGCACCACAAGGTCTCTGGTATTGTCTTTTCCTGCCATGAATCCTTCCTCTTTGTGCTTCTATGAAACTGGTTTCACCTTCTTTCCAAGGACTTGACTTCTCCTGGCTTCAGGGATAACCAGATCCATCTACCATCCCTTCTCTATAACGCAGTACCACTGAGGAGGGGAATGCTTGGTCTCAAAGTCAGGCCAACGTCAGCATTGCCATACGGGTTTTTATAAATATTTAAAGCCGAACTAAATAGTCTTTTAATGCAAACACTCTGAAACTGCAAGTTAAACATTGTGCACACATGCGAGTTTGTAAACCTTTATTACCTTTTACATTATCCTATTTTATGTTATCTACATGCCATCTTGTAGCGTCCATTCTTCAGCATTAGTGGGAGGTGGTGCTATTGTCTCGGAGAAGTGATGTAATTCCCCCCCCCCATTAAGTTCTCTGAAGCAACTATTCTCATATTGTGTCAACAATCAGGCATGTAATAAAAGTGGTTCTATCCCCACCCTAATCCTCCCTCTCTCCTGCACTTTTATCAGCCATTTGTTATGTATTTTAAATGCTGTTGTCAATCAAATGAAAAGGCAGAACACATGGTAGACCTGGGAGGGGGTATCCTGTTCGCAATGATCGTCTATGCCCCTTATGCAAATATAGGAGACTATTTACCTGCTACAAGGGAGGTGTGGAAAGCCTATGACCTACGGGACGTTCAGCCAGCAAAGCTGAAACCAGAAGTCCTAAGGAATCCTGGGTCCTTCCTAGAAAAGACACATAGCCTAGTAAGTGTGCATGGAGTGTTTTAAAGTGGGACTATACTCACCTTTGCTCCAGCAATGCAGCAGCTGAGAGCTTCCTCGATGGAGCCAACATATTTTACCCACTTTTCCCGTTTTGGCAGCTTTGCCACATTGATTGGCAGGCCAGGGATGTTGAAAATCCTGTCCATCCACACGGAAATTCAATCACCAAAGTAAATGCTGCCTTTCCCTCAGCCTGCAGATGTGCACTTACCCTTTAAAGCCTTTTTTTTGTAAATATCAGACATTTTTAATTATTAAAACAAATGTAAAAAAAAACGATAACTCAGGTCCTAATTATATTCTGATTATATTTCCCTGTATACCTGGCAGACATGGTGTATAATTGTGCCCTATGGGGAACCTTGGTCTCTGTGGGGTTCTGTACTGTCTATAAATTCCTTCCCGGTCCTGATGTAGATAAAGACAGCACAGACATTCCTGAGAGTCCACTCAGTTCTATGATGGAGGGGCAGATGGTGCGGTCATTGGATGTTGGCTCTCACATAATGTATGCAAATCTACACTATAGATTGGATGAGGAGCTGACATTACAGAGTGTGACATCAAAGATAAACTCAGATCAATAGCAGGTAAGCAGCCCTGTCATGAAGCTTCTCATGAAAAACACTTCTCTTCTCCTAATCCTTTCATTGATACAGCTTTAGAAAAGTCCTACTCTCATATAATAAAGTGCATTGAAAATGTAGATAGAATAGTGACATTTTTTTTATGCATGTGTACTATTGGGTAGATTTCCCTTTACTTCTTGCCCTGTAGACCAAACAGGAAGTGAGAGGAAATCTCTCCAAAGTAGGGAAATCCTCTCCACCTGAAAATGTTGATGACAACATAGCTGAACAGAAAGTGAGCTGAATTGGAGAATTTTTACAAATCAGCTATTTTGTCCTAGATTTTTTAAAAATCAGCTATTTTGTCCTAGATTGTTCCCTTCTCCCGCCTTCTCCAAACTCTTCACCCTCCTGTGAATAACCCTGATAGATTTCTTCCTCAGTCAGAATACTATACAGAGCTATGGGAATTTCTGAAATTAGATAGGAGGTTGATCAAGGGATTTATCTAATCGCCATTATGGAGTCAGGAAAGATTTTTATTACCTTCAACAAGGTCATAAGGTTTTTTTTTTTATATTAATCTAGATCACTTAAAATTCACATTCACACACACAGGGGTTGAACTTGACAGACTTGAGTCCTTTTTCAACTTTATCATCTACACTGAGTTGCCAGATTATTATGACCACCTGACGTTTGTAGGCAAATTAGCTATAATTTGGCGCTGAAGTTGCTATAGGGCCAGACCATTATAAATAGGGAAGCAGGTTATAAATAATGATGGAGTGGTCATAATAATCTGGCCACTCAGTGTATGTAGCCATTTATTTCTGATATAGATACTATGCTATTGGTGAATAATGTGAAACCTCGCGCCACTACTCCAATCCAGTTAAGCAGCAGCTGAAATCTGTGTGACAACATGCACCTCATTGCAAATAATATATGGTTACAAAAATGCCCATGATATTGGATCTTCAATAGTCCATTAAGAAAATAGAAGATAAAACATTGGATGTAAAATAATCTCAGTCTCCTGTGACCATCAACAGAGAAATCTTCTGGAATGCACCTCACCTTTAGCAGAGACGCACCAGGGTCTGTATGCGCTGTTCCTCTAATTCAAGCCAGGTAGAGGAAGCACCTGATGCCGAATACCTCCCAGTGATTTCCTCCTCTCAGGTACAGACTCTCATTGCAGTCTCAGGAGTTGAAAGCAGTCAATTCGTCCAAATGGCCCATGCATCAAACAAAAAGTGGAAACTCGTAGTGCAGATGGTTTTAAAAAGATATTAAGCTTTATTAAAAAAAGGACACTACTCACATATCATAGATAAAAATAAGGTTTAGATAAAACAACTTAGTAAGCAGCCAGAGACACTATGTGTAATCGCTCAGCTCCTATACTCCGCCCTACGTACGTTACGTCAAGGGGCGTGACTTCATCACGGGACATTTTTTCACGGTCAGTATCTACTATATCTGACACTTTTGTAGATTCATTCACACAGCGCGGCTTTTATTATGAATTTTATACTACGCTATTGGTGTTTCTAATAAAACGGTGTTCAATGCATATGTCCAGCATGAAATACACAACATTTGCTCCAAATTATTGTAGAACAGTTTATAGGCAAAAACGTATACCCTGGTTGATCAGTGTTGTAAGCAGAGGTAATGGAGTGGTTGGTTACCAAATGTAGTGATGACCACCAGTGTTTTATGTTAAAAATAATCTACAGAGCCACTTATAATGCCGATAAATTGTGTTTGTATATATTGTCTATATTGTATATAGTGGAAGTATTGGATTTATATCTAATCTAGTATTATGTAAATAAATAATTCATCATTTATCCTCCTCTTCTACAAGGCTTTCACCGCTTGATAAATATCCATCTGACATGTTCTTCAGTTTACTTGGTCTTCACCTGTATAGTCATTTGTTGTGTCCCATGACTTAATGTTTTTAAACAAGTTCCTTCACATGAAGTGCACCCCATCGTCTCCTTCTTTTCATCATACTCCTACCTGTCCAATAAACAAATGGTACCTTCTGAGAACAAGACTCTTGATGGCTTTGTCCTGTTGGGATTTTCTGATACTCCTCATCTTCTCATCCCTCTTTTCGTCTTCTTCTTGGTTGCCTATGTTCTCTGTATTGTGGGAAACTCAGTCATATTTTCACTCATTGCATCACAGCGCCAGCTTCACACCCCAATGTATGTCCTGATGGGGAACCTTGCCTTTGTGGATGTATTTTTTACCTCCATTATCATCCCCAGGGCCCTGTATGGCCTCTTGTCTGGAGACACCCACATCTCCACCCATGGTTGCTTTGTCCAGCAATTCTTGTTTCTGGCAGTGGGTCTTATGGACAGTCTTTTGTTGGTAATCATGGCCTTTGACCGATATTCTGCAGTTTGTTCTCCCTTACGTTATCTGATAATTATGAACAAGAGGACTTGTATCTGTCTGGTGGCTAGCTCTTGGGTCCTCGTGTGTCTACATGCTACTTTGTACACCGTGCTGACTTCTTCTCAGCTGAACTGTAGCTGGGTCATTCACCATTTCTTCTGTGATCTTCCTGTAATAATGATGTTATCGTGTTCAGGCACTTCAGATGCTCTGCAGAAGGTTGTCTTCATTGAAGGTCCCATTGTCATCTTTGGCCCAGTAGTCTTCATCCTCGGGTCCTACATACTCATCATCAGAGCAGTGTTGACTCTACATTCATCCCAAGGAAGATGGAAGACATTTTCTACTTGTTCTTCTCACCTCATCATGGTTATTTTTTTCTACAGCACAGTCATATTTATGTACTTTCGGCCAAGCTCCATCTACTCTCCGACCAATGACCGGGTCATCAGCGTGGTGTACAGTGTCATTATTCCAATGCTCAACCCCTTTATTTATAGCCTTAGAAATAAGGAGGTCAAAGCTGCTGTAAAAAGATCATTACAAAGAATTAATTAAATTTTTCTTTATCTATCTTGATCCGTTATACTGTACCTGTTCAAGCTCTTCAAGCATCTGTGATTGCCAGTGAGAAATGTTTACTCTGTCTTTGGTGCTACTGGTTATTACAGGGCAAATTAATGCAGTGGTGTTCCTATGGAAAGGAGGTGGAAATACCTACAATTACCTCTCGTGTATGATGTGGCCCATATTCTACATCCATTGCAATACTGCAGAAAGAAAGCTGGGTGATGACTACCGGAATAAGGCAGGACTTTAGGACACTGAAATCAGCTGCAAGCTTCAGTCTGTGTCCCCTCTGCTCTCCCTCACCTATGCCGGCAGAGGGAGTGGGGATCGGAGAGGACACACAGCCTATTCAGCTGCCGGCACCCGGTAAGGAGGAGAAAAGCTGTAAGGAGGCCGAGTTGGACAGCGGGGGCAGTGCGGGGAGGAGAGCTCGGCTCCACACAGCCCATTCAGCTGCCGTCACCCAGCGGGGAGGAGAGAAACTGTCGAAGGCCGAGTTGGACAGCGGGGCGGTGCGGGGAGGAGAGCTTGGCTCCGGTGACAGGCGGGAGGGGGCAGAGCAATCAGGATGGAGACTGGAGCGCAAACACTGAGTGAGTACTGACAACTCAGTGCTTGTAAATAACTGTGGACATAGTGAGTACTATGTCCCCAGTTACAAATTTACAGGAAGTGCTATACATTACTTCTTGTTCATTTATGAATGGGGACATAGCAAATATTTAGTGTCTTATCACTTTATGAATGAACAGGAAGCAGCTCCAAACAGAGGCATCCTCTCCATTCATGACTGGTCTGATAGTAAATATTTACTATCTCCAGATTGAGAATAAACAAGAAGTACAGGAGAGCTCCTGTTCACTGGGACTGCAGAAAAAGGGACTCTGTGACCTCAATCCCTTTTTCTATTTTAAAAGGGAAACATCAGAGGTTTAGATCTCTAAAAACCTCCCGCCCTCCCCTAAATAAATAGTTTTACATTTTTTTTAAAAGGTTAGGGGGGAAAATAAATTTAGTTTTTGTTTCAGCCTGACAACTTTTGACTAAAAATGTAATTTCTGTGCATCTCTAGTTAATGTTGTGCGTTGCGTTAAGGCAGACCTAGTATCAGACCTGCACACAGTAATAGATTTCCATGCATTGTGGTGTGTTGCAATGCAGGCACATTGCTTTAGTTGTGGCGCCATTTTAAATGAATGACAATGCACCATGGTACATGCTGTGCACTGCTCTGGGACGCTCTAAAAACTGAGTTTTACTGACATTACCTGAATGCATAGGGATGAATAGGACCTGAGTGGCTGTGCCAGTGGTGCTTGTTTCAGCATTGTCATCATCAGAAAGCCCACCCTGACAGGGCCGGATTTATTCTTCCTGCTGCCCCAATTTTTATATTTTACTTTTTTCTTTAACAATAATTGTTTATTGAGAAACAGGTCAATAATAAATGACAACAATAATCAAATAGGTATCATATTAATCTCACATTTCTGGCAATTTACATAACAGAAAATGTTTATCCATACGTTCAATAAATATTTTACTTTTTTAATCACCCTGATAGCATTTGTGTGATAGCATTTGGAGGTGACAGGTTCTCTATATAGAACCTGCCACTTCCAATACAGGAGTTCTAGCACAGCACTATGCTAGAACTCCTGTGACAGATGAGAGGGAAAGGGCTGTAAGTGCAGCTCTCCTCTCTCACTGTTTACATGAACGAACATTTTCCGCTCTGCTCCCCGCTCTCCATCTTGAGGATCTCTGACCTGCTTGCCCAAAGAAGGGCTAAATGTAGAAAACAACTACCCGCCCAGCGCCGGAGCTGCATGTCCCAGGCGTCGGTAGATTCCTCCTCCCTGCCTCCCCTCTGCTCCCTGCCGCCCCTCGGCCGGGCCACGTTGGCCTTGACAGCAAATCCGGCCGTGCACCCTGAGCAATGACACGCAGCTGCTGCTGGAGCACATGCATGAAGACAAAAAGCTGTTTGCAAATTGCAAGAAGCCCAACTGCTGCACCCAGAATGACCATCCCAATTTTATTTCTATAGACACCGAAGACAAAGATGGCCATTACTCAAGGCAGAGGACTGACAAGAATGCCCCAGGATGCAAACACTGCCTGTTCCTTGACAGTACATGGAGGTGTACCTACCCTCCCTTACCCCCCTAGAAAACATCAGATGTATTTATGTATTACAACAAATGTAAAGAAATATAATAAATAGAAATATAACTCAGGCCCTAATTAAATGCTGATTAGGTTTCCCTGTATACCTGGCAGACATGGCGTATAATTGTGCCCTAAGGTGAACCTTGGTCTCTGTGGGGTTCTGTACTGTCTATTAATTCCTTCCCATTCCCAATGTAGATAAGACAGCACAGACGTCTCTGCGGGTCCGCTCTGTTCTATGATGGAGGGGCAGATGGTGGGGTCATTGGATGTTGATTCTCACATAATATAGATTGTATGACGTTACAGAGTGTGACATCTCAGATCAACTCAGATCAGTAGCAGGTAAGCAGCCCTCTCCTGAAGATTTTTCTGCTCCTAATCATTCAATTGACACAGCTTTTCCAGTAGTAGAGTATTGTGCTGTTTTATCCATCGATTATCGCAGAGATTTGGAGTATATGTGATGCCATTGATTAGCAAACTTCAATTAGTAATGGATATCTATGGTCAAAATCTAAAAATAAATCTGTATTTCTATATTGAATTTCCATAAATTCTTTCCCGCTCCTCATAGCCAGATCCATCTAGAAGTTTGTAAACTTAGTTATTGGATGTACTTCCTCAATACACTGACACCATCTCACTCAGCCCTGTCACAACTCTCATAGAGCCTGCCTTCTGAACTGCAACTTCAACATCTGAACAATGTAACATTATCATGGCTCTGGCAGGAAGCAATGCATGATGGGCTATGTAGTCTTGAGAAATGGAGATTGCATCACATCAAACAGCAGGGAAAGAGACGCAAAGCCCACTGGGAATCCAAAAAGTTTTTGGAAGTGATGGGCAGACGGAAGGCCGCACTCCGGTGGCGTCACAAGGGGGGTGCGGCACGCACCCGGGTGATACCATTGGAGAGGTGACACCAAAATGACTGACAGTCTTTTTGGTGTCACCCCCCTCTGAAAAGTCGGGCATTCGGTCAAGGATCGTGAGCCCGACAGTTGCTCAAGAGAGAGGAGGGGACACGTCGGCATACCTTATCCCGCCAGGCGACGCCCCCCTCTCTCTGCCGGCATCCATCACCAAGATGGCCGCCGGCAGGTAACAGCGGTACAGCGTGTGACATCACACACGTACACGATGACGTCACTGCGGTGGTGTCACCCCCACCCCGAGACGTCTCTGCAGCACTCACTACATAAAAGGGCTTTTTTCATGTAAGCTTTGATTGTATTATCAGAAACAACTCTACTATGTATTCCTATTACAATGCTGATATAACAGGAGAGGATATGCCGGGACAGCTCCTTTCACAATGCCTTACATCCCTTCTTCAGGCTTTAGACAATTCTGAAAATGGTTCTGAACTCCACATATTGATACAGAGTGATCAGTATGAATATTTATAAATAGTACATCTTGACACATTTCAGTGGTAGAAACTATTGTAAAGCGTTAAGGTGACTCTACACAATGTGATTGCAGAATAAAAAAGGTTTTATATACATTATGATGAATGAAAAGAGACCCTGTCACCAGAACGCTCATTTCAAAAACAAAGTTTGATATACGACTATATGAGAATGTAATACATTGTATGCATGTTGTTTACCTGTAAAAGCCTCCCTTGTATAGACATCCAAAAGACCTGATGTTGCTGCTGGGCGCCGCCATCTTGGATGAGAGGTCAGCAGCCCCACTAGACACAATTGACACTTTATAGGATTCCCCTTCACTCCTTACCCAGCAGCTACATAAAAGCTTTTAGGAAGTAGGAAGCAGAGGCATAACTAGTGACCTCAGGGCCCTGATGCAAGAATCCATGAAGCCCCCCCCCCCAAGAAGAAACAACAAAATTTAGACAAGGAAAACAAACAAAAAAACAAACAAACACTCTCCTCTTCCATGTCTCCAGCTCCCCATCCATTATCTCCCCCTTCATGTCCCCAGTTTTCCACTCCCGGACCCCATGTCACCTTCATAGTTCCAAGGAAGGAAGGAGAAGGTCGGAGGACCTGGGCCAGCACAGTGAGTAATTAGACGCTCCCAGAAAGTAGAAGACTATGACGTGCAAGGAGGGAGGGGGCTGTGGTAGGAAATTGACTCTTCCTGGAGTGGTCAAATTTTCTAGCAAGATCAACAGCACATTGCAAGTAAATAAAAAAAATTATTTATGGAAAGGAAAAACACTGTAAGTAAGCATTTAGAATACTTTTTCTATGCAAATGTTCAGGTTGGTGACTGGGCTCTCTTTAAAACCTCCCACCAGAAGCCCTGCTCCACTGTTTTAGGTTACATTCTAATAAGCAGTGCCTGTAGCATCCACTTCTACTTTGTTTTATCATCTGTCTGTTCCATTCTGCTATCACCCTTCAGAGGCAGCCACTGCAGTGAAAGGCTTGGCCTAGCCCAAACACTGCATGCAATGCTTGGGTTGGCTGAAGAAAATGCCCGAGTGAATAGCAAGGTACACACTTTCAGACCCAGTGGTTGTGGTAGCTTAGCCTAAGCACTTTCTTTCACACCCAGAGGTTGTGGTGGAGCTTAGTCTAAGAATTCTCTTTCATAGCCAGTGGTTGTGGTGGAGCTTAGCCTAAGCACTTTCTTTCACACCCAGTGGATGTGGTGGAGCTTAGTCTAAGAATTCTCTTTCATAGCCAGTGGTTGTGGTAGAGCTTAGCCTAAGCACTCTCTTTCACACCCAGTGGTTGTGGTGGAGTTCACCAGACATTGAAAATGTGTACCAAGCGCCCCATGTGAACTTAGTTTTACTATATAGTATTTATAGTGCATAGCAGATATTTTTCATTATTTACTTAAAAGAGCTTAGGTCTGCTCATATCAAATTAGGATTTAATTTTCCTGTATCCACGTCCGAGTGAAAGTTCATAACTGTGCCACGTGGGCGATGATTGGACTCTGTGGGGTTGTACCTCCTCTATAGATTCATCCTTAGCCCAGACAAAGGCAACCCTGGAGTCACTCTACGTCCGACGCGTTGTAGAATACTATGTGAAGATCAGGTAACACTGTGAGAGGAAACCAATTCTGACATACTCCAAATAAATCTGAAGTACAAGTAACTGAAGAGGCACTGACATTCTGGAGTACAACATCTAAGATGACCTCGCTGCATTGAGAGAAGTGACAGGTAAGTGAATGGTACATCCAGGACCTTTCACAAAAAAAAGAGAACAATTTTTATCTTTATCATAGCATGCATGTCGCTTTAGGAAACTCATTTATAAAATGTATATAAAATGTAAAGTTTATCTCTATGCAGACAGATCGATTCTAGTTTTGGATAGAGTGGGGAAGGGTTAGACCCTCTGCTAAGTTTTTATCACTGTCCGCGTCCCCTGTATTTGTACAGTTGCCGCTGAAAAAGAAAGTGAGGGGAAATCCAAAATTAAAGTTAGCTGCCCCTGGAACAAAAGCTAAAGAGGAACTTTCTAAAGAGGACATCTTTTCCAAGCACAGGGAAGAGGGGAATTTCTCTCACTTTGGAAGATTTGCTCTAACTTAGTGCCTATTGTGTCTCTGGGACAGGAAGTGAAGGCAAAGTTCCCCAGTGGTACACAGACAGAAAAAAAAATGAACATGGTTTTAACTCTGCCCTACTCTATCCAAAACTATAAAAAAAAAAAAAGTTGTGTACATACACTTTAATTAAAAGGAGAACTCCAGGTATGTAAAAAGTTAACGCTACCCCGGTACTGCAATGGTTAACCGCTTGTTTTTCTCTAGGGGAGGAAAAAAGAAGAAATACTCACCTGATCCTCAGTCCTGCGTCAACCTCGCATTGCCTCTGCTGAGGTTGTGGAATGGGTCCACAAGGTGGCCATACACTGTACAACCATCGCAAGACCTTAGTCTTGCGATGGTTGTAAAGTAATTTAAAAAACGTACGATCTGCCCATCTTGGACAGGCAGATCGTACTCTCGATCATCGCAAGCCCGCCGCCCTGAGGGGCGGGCTTCCGATGACCGCAATGCTGAACGGGCAGTGTGCGCGTAGGCACACTGACCCGTTCGGCATTTGTCTCCCGAGCACCGTTCAAACCAGCCGAAAATCTTAAGATTTTCGGCTAGTTTTCTAGCGTGCTCCTTAGACAAACGACATGCGACCGTACAGTAGAAACGGTCGCACGTCTTCATTCACACTGCTCGATTCTCGTACGATCGCGGGATTTCCCAGTGTATAGGCACCTTTAAGCTGGCCATACACCTTACAATTATCTGCAGATTTTCTATGGTCAGATGGAAAAGGTGCCACAGATTCCTCCATCTACGCTACACTGTGTGAATGGAGTAATCTCCACCTGGGCCAATCCGTTGCACTTTTTCCATCTGACCACAGAAAATTGTAAGGTGTATGGGCACCTTTATGGGGGTGAATGGACTTCATTAGATATTTATATAGCGCCGACAATTTACGCAGTGCTTTACATAGTTGCACATTCACATCACTCCCTGCCTCTCAAGGAGCTTACAATCTAAGGTCCTTATGTCACATGCATACATAGAGGACCAGCTTAGAGAGAAGCCAATTAACCTACCAGCATGTCTTTGGAGTGTGGGAGGAAACCGGAGTATCCGGGGGAAACCCACGCAGGCACAGGGAGAACATGCAAACTCCTTGCAGATAGTAACCTGGCCGGGATATGAACTGGGGACCCCCAGTACTGCAAGGCAGAAGCGCCAACCACTACGCCACTGTGCTGCCCATATATAATGACATCAGCAGGACTTAGAGCGCCGGAGCCCGGGGAAGAAGACCTTTGGGGACCATCTAGCAGCCTGGAGGGATCGAAGATCAGGGGAGCACAGTGATGTTTTCTCAGTGGCATCCCCAGAAAATGGGGAAATTCTGAGTAGGAGGTCAGTTATTTTTGGCAGCTTTGACCAGGTGTATTTTAATTCAAGGGGTGGGGGGTGTAATCAAAGTGGACCTTACTTTTTTTTAAATGACCACTGCGCTTTTAAACTACATAATTCCACTAACATCGACAGTATAACAGGTGTTTGTACAATTCGTTAACCAGCATCTAACCCTAAAACCATTATTTATGGGATTCAGAATAAATGATAATTTGTGTATTATAGCTTGTGCTACTTTATAAAACTATATAATTAGCTATTTATGACATTCTTCCTGTACAGTACAGATTATGTGCGATGGGATATGTGGCCCTTGGTTCTCATAGTATACACTCTGTGCTCTCCTTTTTAGCATTACATTTGTAAGTGGTCACAATACACATGGAAGTCCCTGAGAATAAGACTCTCGCTGGCTTTGTCCTGTTGGGTTTCTCTGATACACCTCATCTTCTCTTCCTTCTGTTCTCTGTGTTCTTGGCTGCGTATTCCCTCTGCATTGCAGGAAACACTTTAATTTTTGTGCTTATTGTGTCACAACGTCATCTTCGCACCCCGATGTATGTCCTGATGGGGAACCTTGCCTTTGTAGATGTATTTTTTACCTCCATTATCATCCCCAGGGCCCTCTATGGCCTCTTGTCTGGAGACACCCACATCTCCACCCATGACTGCTTTGTCCAGCAATTCCTGTTCCTGGCAGTGGGCAACATGGACAGTTTTTTGTTGGCCATCATGGCCTTTGACCGATATTCTGCAATTTGTTTTCCCCTACATTATCTGAAAATTATGAGCAAGAGGACTTGTATATGTCTGGTGGCTAGCTCTTGGGTCCTCGTGTGTCTACACTCTACTCTGTACACCGTGCTGACTTCTTCTCAGCTGAACTGTAGTTGGGTCATCCACCATTTCTTCTGTGATCTTCCTGTGATAATGCAACTAGCCTGCTTAGGCGCTTCAGATGCTCTGCAGAAGGTTGTCTTCATCGAAGGTCCCATCGTCATCTTTAGCCCAGTACTCTTCATCCTCGGGTCCTACATACTCATCATCAGAGCAGTGTTGGCTCTACATTCAGCCCAAGGAAGGTGGAAGACCTTTTCTACTTGCTCATCTCATCTCACCATGGTTATTCTTTTCTACAGCACAGTCATATTTATGTACTTTCGGCCAAGCTCCAGCTACTCTCCGACTAACGATCGGGTTATCAGTGTGGTGTACAGTGTCATTATCCCAATGCTCAACCCATTTATTTATAGCCTAAGAAATAAAGAGGTTAAAGCTGCTGTAAAGCAACTTTTTCATATCACTTGATCCATTATATATGTACACCTTTATACTGCAAGAAGGGGGATGGGGATTAGTGGGAAGGATTGGAACGTTCATACAATGCCAGGGAGAGTAGCCACACTAAACAACTCCTTTGCTATGAGATCAGGGAAACCAATATGTATAACAGGGGTAGTGAATTAAAATTCAAGGGGTCCGGGGAATACAATTTTCACCAAGCCGAGGTCCGTACCTGTACCGCGGTCCGCCATTTAGGCTGCATTTATACCAGCAGTTGCACTGCAATGCACAGCTGCTAGTGTGTTCCCAGGCACAGTGCTGATGCCCTGATCCCGGCACACCACAGTTTATTTTTTTTATTTTTTGTTAGAAGTCCCCCCGTGTACATACATGTGCATGCCTTACGCGTGCTTGTTCAGAAGGAGTGCAGATTTATAAAATAAATCATGCCTTTTGTTGTACAAGTGTACAAGTCCGCCCGACCCCCGGTTTACATACATGTGCATGCCTTACACGCACATATTCATTCGAATCGGATGCTGGGGGAAGCAGGGTTGGTTTACATTTTTTTTATTATTTTATAATTTCTTTACTTTTTTATCATTTATTGAAATGTGTTTTCACTTAACTTTTGCCATATCAAAGGGGCTAACAAGCCCTTACTGTAGGTGACAGCATTTGGAGGTGACAGGCTCTCTTTATCGAGACATTAGGGGTCTATTACACTCCTGATGTCTTCTCTCAAACAAAGCCGATGAAGCACAGGAATGTGCTTCACCTTCTGTTTACTGGCACTTCAGCCAGCTACTGACAGCTGAAGCAGGTAGTGCTGAGAGAAGCATGTCATGCTTCAATGATCACAGATCAGATCGGGGAACAAATGTTCCCTGGTCTGCTCCGGTTTCCATTTTGACACTGTGTGCCGTGGTCCCGGCACCATCCTGGCTAATACTGTAGTTGTAGCAGCTGTCCCGGGCCCCCCAGAGGAGTGTGAGACCCGAAAACTACAGCGGGTGAGGTGGTGGTTTGAAGGGGGGTGGGCGGCACCACCCTGGCCAATACTGTAGTTGTAGCAGCTGTCCCCGCCTGCCAGGCGTCATTGGTTGCTAAGCCGCGGCGGTCCTAGAAGCCAATTACTAAAACAAAGGAGAGACCTGTGCAGGGGGGGCCTGTGCCTCAGAGGCCAGTGTATCCTCTGCCAGCCAGCCATTACCCAGCATGGGCTGGTGATCGCAGTCCAGACAGAACCACCACTCTGAGTCTCTAAAGTCTGTGTCTGAACCATGGTCCGCCATTAAGTGACCCCAATGAATAACATATTAAACAGCATCATACTGAACCCTAGTAAAAATATAGTTCATATGACCCAAAGCATTTATGTATCTGTCCCAGTTACTATACGTTGTTTGTACGCTCTATTAACAGCCATTAATATATTCATTAGTAGTTATGTGCTTGTATGATAAACAATAAACATTTTATTTTATGCTGCTGAATTTACCTGGTTGATTCAATGCCTTCAATACCCTTCATCATCACATAATAATCTCAACACAACATGTGTTATATGCATATTGTCAGGCAGCACATGTGTGAAGAATTTCCCTGTTGCCTGCTCTTCAAGCTGATTGATGGTCATTTGTAAGTTGGTCACACACCTGTGTTGCAGTCCAGATGTAGGTCAGTCATCATTCTCAGCAATTACTAGTTCATTACCTGCATCTGTTACTTCCCATTGCCTCTCTCTGCCATCTTACTGCTTCCCATGTGCCCTGGGGTTTGTGTATATAGTGCGATTATCCCATTATCTCTTTCCAAAGGACCTATAAAGGTTAGTTTGGTTCTATGGTGAATGTCTTCAAATCTTTTTTCCTGATCTCTTGTTAGTGACCTTCATCAGCCTGAGACGGAAGGAACTCTGCCTGCTTCCCATTACTGCTCTAGGGCTAGGAAAGCGGATTTCCTGGTATGACCTTAGGCTTTTCCCCAATTATTATTTTGCCCCTCTCTTCAAATAGTTGATTGGATCCTCTGCCTGATCATGACTGTACTTACCCTGACCCTTTGGGTTTGTCTGGCTCACAGGTGCTGACCTCTGCCTAGTCTTCATTTAGGGCTGGACCACTCTGTCCAAGTTCCATAACCAGGTACATAAAAACCTGTGGGAGCACATACAGCTTTTTAGAAAAGTGGCTACCAAAGGTGAAGAGTGGTGCAGGAGGAGTCATCAAGTCTGAAGAAGTGATCCACCTTTACAAAATCCATGTAATGCCCATGTAGATTCCAGGAGTCAACAACAGCTTCAGCCCCCGATATTACACTGCCCCCTTCCCTAGGAACCACACAACAGACACAGAGGATGATCGTCAAACCAACTTTGCCGGATCAATTGCCAACACAAATATGCGTCAAGAAGCTCATATCTTACAGACACACACGGTACCCTCCATTACAATCACTAAGACACTGGCAGTGTAACAGTATGACGGCACAGCTGCATGGTGCCCTAATCCATCTCAGCAGAGTAGACATGCGCGATTCGTTGCGTTCCGAATCAAAATTCAGACGAATTTTCCGAATCAAAATTCAGACGAATTTTCCGAATTTTCCGAATCAAAATTCAGACGAATTTTCCGACATTCGGACACGTCCAAGTTTCCGAATCCCAATGCATCCGAATGTGTCCGAATCCGAATTTCCAAAACACAAAAATTCTCCAGCCTCAACCTGCCAGCCAGCCTGCAACCAAACAAGTAGCCCTGTCAACAGTATGCGTTAAAATCAGAGGTTTTAGTTCCACAAACTTTTGGCCAAAAATATGTAGAAGCCACACTGCCGTTTTCGTTACGGCAACACAGGAGCCATATACAGTATATACATATAATACTAAAACTGAGGCTCCCAGACCCGAATGGCATTCAGGAGCTCCCCAACATAAAGCTTCTCAGAAAAGTGGCTGTTTAGTTTGTGATAGAGTAAATAAGGATTAGTACCCATGCCTAATTTTTAATGGTATCCGGGGTTCCGATAGAGAGATTTGCCTCACTTCCCATTCTGCTGACAACGGTTTCACCAGACAGGAAGTGAGGGAAGTCTGCAACAGGGACACAGAGAGCAATACAAATCCTACAGGGGTTCTGGCCTTCCCCAAATCTACTAAAAAAATATTTCTCTGCCTGTTTCTGTTGAATTCTCTTCACTTCCTGTCTGGTAAAACAATGGCAGTAGGACAGGAAGTGAGGGGAAATCTCCCAGGTAGCAGAGAATTACATTGAAAAGGGGTTCTAACCCTTCCCCACTCAATCCAAAACTAAGAAGAAGTATTTTGGCTGGACATTTACTTTAACTGGAGAGGGGTGTTATTTGATACTGTAATGCACACTCAAAATCTGGGAGGCAGTGTGTGCTATCAGCACCAAGTGAGGCAAAGAAGCAACTACCAGACCATGTAAACAGTCAGGAACAACCTCAGCCACCATCATTACACTAGAACTATCAGTGCCCCCTTCCACATGGAACACACAGCAGATACAGAGGATGATCCTCACAGCAACTTTACTGCAACCCGAAAGTAATATAAATAAGTATAAAATCACAAGTTACATACAACCAAGGAATCCTCAAGTTCCATACACCCTAGGAACCTCTGATTTAAATTCACCCAAGGAAACCTTGACTTACATACACTCGAAGAACTCCAAATTTATGTACACCCAAAGAGCCCCAAACTAGCATACACCCAATGAATCTCCAACTTACGTACACCCAAGCAACTATTGCCTCATGTAAACCCAAGAAGAAACCCCCAACATATGTAAACTCAAGGAACCTTGGACTCAAGAAACCCAAGAGACTCTAGACTTGCATACACCCAATGAATTCTCAGCTTAGATACACACCCAACAAGCCCTTAACTTATATACACCCAAGAAACCTTGCACCTACATACATCCAAGGAGTTCTCAACTTACACCCAAGAAACCTCCAACTTTTAAAAACCCAGAGAGCCTTCATCTTGCATATGCTCAAGCATCCCTCTACTTACATACACCCAAGGAAGACTTAAAGGAGAACTATGAGGTGAGTGATTTTCACTCACCTCATAGTTCGAGCCGACATATGACAATGAAACTGTCACACGCCGCATCAATAGATCGGGAAATGAGCGAGCACATACCGTCGCTCTCTCACTTCTCGATCATGTCCCTGCAGAGAGCCATGACTGTCACTCACGGCTCCCTGCAGGGATTCTTCCCTCCCCTGTCCGATAACTCCAGCGCTGTCTGGCGGAACGGATGGGGGAGGGGGCGGGTACAACTGGCTCTGCCTCTAGATAGGCAGAGCCCACTGTCAATCACGCAGCTGGGTGGAACCAGACAGTAATGTCGGGATCCGTCCAGGCTGTGGCGGTCTCAGTATAGCGCGAGCTGTAGCTCCCTATATACTGAGCTTTGGGTGACGGGAGGACGCTAGTTTGTGTCCTCCCGTTAATCTTAGAAGAACTATGAGGAAAAACACTTACCCCATAGTTCTCCTTTAAGGAATTCTCAACTTCCATACGCCCACGAAACCTCCAACTTTCGGAAACCCAAAGAACCTTCACCTTGCATATGCTCAAGCTACCCTCCACTTACATACACACAAGGAAGACTTAAGTGACTGGCTGGCTTAAAGGAGAACTATGGGGTCTGGGCTTTTCCCCATAGTTCTCCTTAGTGTAACGGGAGGACACAAACTAGCGTCCTCCCGTAGCCTCATAGTTCTCTTTTAAATATTTTTTTTCTCTATTATCGTCAGGTTCACAATCAAAGTGCAAGATTTAAAATGTGTTTATTTTTTGCTTTGCCTTTTTTTGGCTACTTCTGCATTATTTGGGGTGAATCCAGCAGCAGGAAGGATGCTCTGATGCAGGAATTCATCCACAACATTTTCTTTAGTTAAAGCAACACACAGTGTTCTTCTTTTGTGCCGCCGGGTGGTGGGCCAAACAGACCAATGCTGCCAGCTCTGCTTAAAGGGCAGACAGCACGTTCCTTCCAATTTATGGTGGTTTTAAATTGAATAGTCACCTGACATGGTCTGGGATGAAAGAGGCGGAGCCTGTATGAGGAAGTAATATACTTTATTTGTGTCTGGTAAGGCCTGACTACTGAATTGGACCCTAAGAGTTTTACATTTTGATTTTTTTATTATTTATTTTTTACTATTTTTTGCTTTTACATCGATATGGAGATAATTTTTCTTAGAGTTAATAAACGCTTTACAATAACAAAATCTAATTGGATGAGGCTCATTATCTTTGATCGTTCTTCAGGGATGAAGACCCCCTAGAGGACTCGTGTTCCATCGCTGATAATGTCCCTGATGTACAGTCTCAGCTTTATCTATGTATTACGAGTATCACACACAATTCCTGATAACACTTCCCGCGAATTCTCATAGAACTTCCACATCGCTCCGTCCACCTCCATCCAGGTTGTTGCATTTATCCGAATGGAAGAATCGGATATTCCTTAACCCAAAACTTAAATCTTTTCATTAAAGGGGTTCTAAACCCTCTGTTTTTTTTTGCTTATATCTACTGCTAGCAAGCAGTAGATATAGGCAAGAAGTGGAGTTCATCCAGGTCATGGTCATATCTGTAAAGAATAAGTCAAGGCAACTGGACTGGCTGTATGTTTCTTGAAGACATTTCACTGATAATCCAACCAGCTTTCCCAATTCAGAATGACTTGTACAAAAATTATCTGGGAATAAATATGGTGAATGTCGCTCCAATCAGCATCATCTGTTAGTCACAACCAGGTGTTGATTTGCATAATTGGAGTCTAGGAGGTGTTATTAACCTGCCCAGAGAGAGGTGTTAGAACAGCATTGTGTGTGGCACAGCATAGAAGAGCCGAGCCCTCTGGTCAGGATTCAGCAGTATACCTACATCTAAAGGAAAAAGGTCACTCCTTTGAAGACAGTCAAGTACGCATCCTAGCAGGTGTGTTCCAGCCAGAGCCGTAGCTCGCTCCTTTTGCATCCGAGGCAAGAACAGAAAATTGTGCCCCCCAACAGACGTGTTCGGTATGTGACGTAATGCGCCCCGCCTCCAGCATGCGCATAATGCGCTGGTGGCCAAATCCAAAATAGCATAAAAATTTGTTTCATTTGACGAAACTAAAGAAAACATTTTTAGTTTCCGTTCATTTCACCCGAAAAATGTGTTTAGTCTTTGCACATGTCTTGTAGTGTGTGTGTGTGTGTGTGTGGCGTGTGTGTGTGTTTGTTTTTGCATTTTTTTTTCACTGTTGGGGGGCTTTGGGGGAAAAATCAGGGGTCTAAATTTCCATTTAGAAATAGAAAAGGAGATGGAGAACACAGAATCCTCTGCCCATACAGGTGGGGGAGAGCAGCGGGGATCCGAGGAGAAGATGGAGCGTGTGCCGCTCCTCTTTTCCCTGCTGAGCCGCGACTGTGTTGGCCGCCTGGCGTCCCTGTTGCCATAGGTGCCCTGTGTTTGTCCATGGCAACAGGTGCGAGGGGGCACAGCCAGGCTGGCCCTGGCTACGCCCCCTCTCAGCAGCGCCTGAGGTCAGTGCCTCACTCGCCCCATGGTAGCTACAGCCCTGGTTCCAGCCTCACAGCAGGTGTGTTCCAGCATCACCAGATTACAGACAAAGGACGGAGGTGGACTGCAGTGCAGCAATGTCTGTATACAAATGATCAAACTGCTCAGGTGTGCTGTGTGTAAGCATCTCATTTCTTTTTTGACTGAAACCCACCTCTGAACTGTATGAAATTGCATTTCTGATATTTTATATCATGTCTATCCATGAGCTAAATATAACATGATGTCTGTATGTGGGGTCAGCGAATACAACATACTTTAGCTATGTAAGGTAGGAGCCCCATTGGTGCATTGGTGGCCCCTCAGTCCATGGGTATAGAATACAGAGCAACACCACAAAAAATGGGTGCTTTGAAGGAACCTTCCAAACACAACCACACTCAACAATACAATTTCTGTAAAACTCAGATAAAAGCATTAAAAACATCTCAATGGTGTTATGTTCATACTCAGCAATACTGTGTGTATGTAACTGAATTCCATAGTACAGTAATACCTTGGTTTAAGAGCATAATTCGTTCTGACAGCATGCTTGTAATCCAAAGCGCTTGTATATCAAAGCGAATTTCCCCATAGGAAATAATGGAAATTCAGATGATTTGTTCCACAACCCAAAAATATTCATATAAAAATGATTACAATACTGTACTGTAATATAATACTGTACAAAATATAAAGAAAAATAGAACAATTACCGGTACCTTCGTGGCTGGTGTGAGGGGGACAAGAGAGAGGAGGATTATTGTGTAGGACGACTTTCACTCTCACTAATGGAATCACTGCTATCTCTTGACTCAATGGAATCTTTTTCATTTTGTGAAACCTTAGCAAGGAATCTATCCAATGTGACATTGCATTGTCGTTAAACAGTCTCATCGCTCGCACTGCTACAGCCTTATTCCGGTGGTGCTTTTCTACAAAATTTTGCTCTTATTGCAAGACATTGCTTGTATATCAAGGCAACATTTTTCAGAAATGTTTGCTTGTCTTGCAAAACGCTCTCAAACCAAGTTACTTGTAAACCAAGGTATTACTGTATATAAAATATTCCTACAGCCTTCTAGGCCCCCCTACATGGATACACACCATAGTGCTATAGCAAGGTATCCAAAAAGATGTAAACTGTCCAATATGGGTGGCCCAACCTTCAACGCGTTTTGCAGCCTGCTTCCTCAGGAAAAGAAGGAAGTAATCTATAATTCACATGGATATAAATGGAACATTTTCCACACTAAGAGATATAACAATGTAATATCACAACTTATATTTTACTTAATACCTTATTGCAGCAGTACATAAAGAGCACATAGCTCATGCAGCCTGAACAAACAAGCTTGTTTGTTGATCACTACTATGGGCTGCCCAGTATGTGCGTAACATCTCAAATATTAAAAAAGTCTGTCTGGATGGTCCACTTTATCCACTTTATGATACAAACCCCAAGGAGCAGGAGTAGTCACACTGCCTATTTAGGGAACACCAGGTCCTCTTGCTAGGCCATCCTCTGCTAACTGTCATACCTTTCCCACACTCCGCCCCACTCAAAACTATCATACCTTTCCCAAACCCCTCCACCCACTCATAACTATAATACATTTCCCACACTCCCCCCATGCCAGAGCTCTAATCCCTTTTAATACCTTTGAGCACAGTCTTTGTTCTCTTCCTTCTTATGTTTTTGATGTGTTTGCTACAATAACATTCCCATATTTTACTCTTTGCCTTCAGCTCCTGGGGGAGATGGTGGATACAAATTTCTCCGTACTTCAGTTTGTCCTATTGGGATTCTCAGATGTCCCTCAGATGAGGATATATCTGCTCTTCATGTTCTTTGTCATGTACCTCATAACCCTCCTGGGAAATGTGGTCATCCTTTCTTGCATCGTGTATGACAAGGCCCTCCACTCCCCCATGTACTTCTTCCTGAGCAACCTTTCATTGGTGGATATCTGCTTCACCTCCAGCACAATCCCCACCCTTCTCTCGACCCTGATCTCCAACAAAAGGTCCCTCAGCTTCCTCGCCTGCATCAGCCAGATGTTTTCCTTCATCTCCTTTGGAAACCTGGAGAACAACATCTTGGCTGTCATGGCGTACGATCGTTACGTGGCCATCTGCAGCCCCCTGAGATACACCGCGAGAATGAAGAGCAGTTTATGCGTTTGGTTGGTGGCCATTTCCTGGATTGCCGCTTGTTCTCATTCTCTTCTTCACACCCTCATGGTGACCGGTCTTCGATATGTTGGGCTAAAGAAGGTATTCCACTTCTTTTGTGAAATCTCCCAAGTCTTGGCTGTGGCGGACTCAGACACGTCATTAAACTTCTCCCTCATCATCACAGAGGGAGCGGTGTCCGTCGGCATCCCTTTCCTTTGTGTCATACTGTCCTACGGGTTCATCTTGGTGGCCATCTTCCAGCTTCATTCCACCGAAGGGAGACAGAAAGCGTTCTCCACCTGCTCTTCTCATCTGACGACGGTGTGCCTGTTCTACGGGACAATTACCGCGGTTTACTTTCGGCCTTCTGGTGGCTCAGGCGGAGTGGGAGAAAGAGTGGCTACTTTGGGGTACACCTTACTGACGCCGATGCTGAACCCCATTATTTACGGATTGAGAAATGAAGCGATGAAGAAAGTCATTGGGAAAGCTTTTCTGTAGACGGTTCGGAGAATATAATGCTGGAGATACGTATACGGTGACATAAGTCCAGGGGCGTAACCACAGATCCTGGGGCCCCATAGCAAAATTGTGATGGGGTCCCTCAGCAACCTCCCTACTGTCAATGATATTAAAGGAGAACTATGAGGTGAGTGCTTTTCACTCACCTCATAGCTCTAGCCGACCTGTGACAATGAGACTGTCACAGGTCGGCTCAGTAGATCGGGAGGTGAGCGAACACATACCGGGTTCCCTCACCTCTCGATCCTGTCACGGCTCTCTGCCGTGACAGGGGGAGGGGCTGGATTCCCCCCTCCCCGCTCCGATCCGCCAGCGCTGACAGGCGGAACAGACGGGGGAGTGGGCGGGTACAGCCGGCTCTGCCTCTAGATAGGCAGAGCCAGCTGTCAGTCACGCAGCTGGGCGGATCCAGACATAATTGTCAGGATCCGCGTCGGCGTCTCAGTATACCGCTAGCTACAGCTCGCGGTATACTGAGCCTAGGGTGACGGGAGGACGCTAGTTTGTGTCCTCCCGTTACCCTAAGGAGAACTATGGGGAAAAGCCTTAACCCCATAGTTCTCCTTTAAAGTCAGGTAGCAGGAGAGCTTCCTGCATAGCCCCCTCCCCCATACATCTTATGTCAGTTCTTCTTGATTATGTCGGTGTCAGCAGCAACTTCTGCAATCCTCATTGGGGCCCCCTTCCACCCCCAGGCACCATAGCATCCGTGTGGGCCGCTATGGCTGTTGTTACGCCACTGCATAAGACCCTTACCACCAACATTTTTCTAAACAAATAATAGAAACAGAAATGGCTTCTGGGTAAAAAAAGACCACGGGGGGTTTCATCGTGTATAGTATGGTGCCATTTGGGGGTAGCCATGTTTAATTTTAATAACCATAATAAAGAATATTTATTATTTTGTATATTTTTCATCATGTTCAGAACTAAAAAAAAAAAATTGGTTTAAATGTGAAAAACAGCATGTGAGCGGTTCAAACATAGTTTTACAAAAAACAAGTCAACACGCGTATCTTATAGCAGGAAAATTAGGCTGACAGCCCCTCTCTTACCTGCACTGCCCAGCCCCATGATTTGACACTCCTGCACCATAGAATGTCTCAGTGGCGGACATAAGGAACAAAGGGCCCTGGTGCAAGATTTTTTTTGGGGCCCCCCAAAAAAAACACAAACACAGCGCTCTCCTCCCACAACGCTCGGCCGGCTGTCACACTTTCTCTCCACCCCGCTGGGACACAGAGCAGTGCCCAGTGGAGAGGAAAGAAAGCAGGGATGTGCCGCTGTATCAGAGGAAAAATGGCACTTTCGGCATTTAGCCAAAAGTGCCATTTTCGGCCGATATGTTTTGGCGGCCGATATATCGGTGTATCCCTAATATTTACAGCAATGCAGAATGGCACAGGCTATAGAGGACTACACATCCCAGCAATACTTTATACAGGTGAAACTCGAATAATTAGAATATCGTGCAAAGTTCATTTATTTCACTAATGCAACTTAAAAGGTGAAACTAATATATCAGACTCATTACATGCAAAGCAAGATAGTTCAAGCCGTGATTTGTCATAATTGTGATGATTATGGCTTACAGCTCATGAAACCCCAAATCCACAACCTCAAAAAAGTAGATTATTACATGCAATCAAAAAAACAAGGATTGTACATAGAAGAATATCGGACCTCTGAAAAGTACAAGCATGCATATGTACTCAGTACTTGGTTTGGGCCCCTTTTGCAGCACTTACTGCAATTACTTTTGCACGATATTCTAATTATTCGAGTTTCACCTGTATAACAATGGCATTTCTGTATAAAGTACTGCTGAGATTTGTAGTCCTCTATAGAGGGGGCCATTCTGCATTGCTGCAACACTACTTTATACAACATTAGGCTACAAATAATCATTATTTTAATGATTTATTCCCCCCCCCCTTACCTCTTCTGTCTTCAGTTGTTTCCTGTGTGTGTTCTGTTTGCTGGGTCCTCACTGCGGCTCTAGACTTTGTGAGGCCTAAGGCGAAACTTAAGCATGAGGCCCCATCTTACATATGCACATATACATACACTCATTATGTACGCACATACATACATACATACATACACTCATATGTACACATACATACATACATACATACATACATACAAAAATGCACAGTCATGTACTCATGCATGCACACACTCATATACCCTGTTATTTATAGCACAGGTTTAAGAAGTCAGAACAACTCTGGAGATCTTCTTAAAAATATCAGTAGATTTTCCTAAATATTCGGATGTATGTCAAAGCATTTTAGATAATTATTATGGGGACGGGTTCATTTTTATTTTCTATAGATTGAAGACACATCTCTCTTAAACCTATAAATGACCCCTGTAGGTTTAGGAGATATGCCTCCCCCATCTCTCTCATGCCCTTTGTTCTTTCCACTATCTTCATATGGCCCCTGGACTCTCCCATCACCATGGTCCCCCCAACTCCAGCACCCCTTCCATCACATATTTCCTGCACCTCCCATCACCTTTCCCCAGCCCTCTCAATTCATGGTCCCTTCCCATCTCTGCAGCCCCCCTCTTTCTCCAATCACATGTCCTAGGTGCGCACGCACCGGCTGCAGTCCCACCACTGGAATGTCTGCCACATCCAACTATAGGGCACAGATCAGCCCAATTCCTGCACCTTCACACCTCAGATCAGCCCAATTCCTGCACCTTCACACCTCAGATCAGCCCAATTCCTGCACCTTCACACCTCAGATCAGCCCAATTCCTGCACCTTCACACCTCAGATCAGCCCAATTCCTGCACCTTCACACCTCAGATCAGCCCAATTCCTGCACCTTCACACCTCAGATCAGCCCAATTCCTGCACCTTCACACCTCAGATCAGCCCAATTCCTGCACCTTCACACCTCAGATCAGCCCAATTCCTGCACCTTCACACCTCAGATCAGCCCAATTCCTGCACCTTCACACCTCAGATCAGCCCAATTCCTGCACCTTCACACCTCAGATCAGCCCAATTCCTGCACCTTCACACCTCAGATCAGCCCAATTCCTGCACCTTCACACCTCAGATCAGCCCAATTCCTGCACCTTCACACCTCAGATCAGCCCAATTCCTGCACCTTCACACCTCAGATCAGCCCAATTCCTGCACCTTCACACCTCAGATCAGCCCAATTCCTGCACCTTCACACCTCAGATCAGCCCAATTCCTGCACCTTCACACCTCAGATCAGCCCAATTCCTGCACCTTCACACCTCAGATCAGCCCAATTCCTGCACCTTCACACCTCAGATCAGCCCAATTCCTGCACCTTCACACCTCAGATCAGCCCAATTCCTGCACCTTCACACCTCAGATCAGCCCAATTCCTGCACCTTCACACCTCAGATCAGCCCAATTCCTGCACCTTCACACCTCAGATCAGCCCAATTCCTGCACCTTCACACCTCAGATCAGCCCAATTCCTGCACCTTCACACCTCAGATCAGCCCAATTCCTGCACCTTCACACCTCAGATCAGCCCAATTCCTGCACCTTCACACCTCAGATCAGACCCACTTCCTGCACCTTCACACCTCAGATCACCCCAATTCCTGCACCATCACACCTCCGATCAGACCCTATTCCTGCACCTTCACACCTCAGATCAGACCCAATTCCTGCACCTTCATACCTCAGATCAGACCCACTTCCTGCACCTTCACACCTCCGATCAGACCCAATTCCTGCACCTTCAGACCTCAGATCAGACCCTATTCCTGCAACATCAGACCTTAGATGAGCCCCAATTCCCCTATTTTCAGACTTGTATGTCAGTATGTAATCAGTTGCAAACCCTGCATCTTCAGACCACGGATAAACCCCACATTCTGCATCTTCAGACCTCATGTCTTCACACCTTAGACCTGCCACAATGCACAGGGTTTTACATACCTGTGTCAGGGGTCAAAGAAGAGGAGGAAGAGGGTATGCATGCTGGCGGGATTGTTCCACACGCCAACATCCTCAGTCGCTGGCAGGCCTATGCTTTGTCATGTCACTAACCTCAGAGAGGTGGGTGGTCTGTGAACAAGCAAGGCCCAGGAAGCTGTCCACAACAGCAAATGGCAGTGAAAAGCGGTTGCTGTGGCCCGCTCTATAGAGAGTCAGAGTTGCACTGTTCTATATAAATGGAATACAATAATTTAAAGGGGGGGGTGACCTTGTGGAAGTTATAAACAAATTAATTTGGGGTAAATGACTCTTGAATTAGGGAAATTGAAGGTTGACAGCCGGGGGGAAAAGTTTTAAAACAAGACAGCGGTGTTATCACCATCATGCCATTCACTGTAGCTTCCAGAGGATCCTTTCTCTGCTGTAGCCGCAGTTCCCCCATGACACCACAAGATGGCGAAAGGAAATATTTCCCATCAACTCTGAAAAATAAAAATCTTTTAAAGCCGAACTCAGCGACCCGATAATCACATAATATGGGGACCGTTCCATCGATCCATCCAGGACACAGCTCTGTCACACAGCACAGCCCCGTCTACCAAAGGGGGAGACCTGATTTTAACTCTTAAGTTCTTGTCCCTCCGCTAGCCAGTCACTGGACAGTTAAAGATGAAGCAGCACATGCTCAATGATCACGTGCCCATTATAGGCACTTTTGGTGGTGGACACGCGTCAGCATGGGAACTTTTCCATTTTTTCTGCTTCCAACACATTAACTTCAGGGACAAAATGGTCACTTCCTGCCGAATATATCCCCCCCCTCACTTCCAGGTGCCATTGTAATATATCCCCCCCA